TTTATATTGATTAATTAATTAATTAATATAAAATATAACGTTTAAAACTCGAACAATATCAACCTCGATTGCAATGAGTCTAAACGACGTTAGCACACAACGTCAACGTGAGAAAGACGAGAGACGGCTCTCAGTACAAAGAAACAACGCTTACTTCACTTTCAAAGCAACCGAAAGTAATGCAAGCTCATCACAAACACCAAAAGTTATATTATTTCCGATCAATCAGTTATATGACAGCTATAGAATATAGTCGGCTGATCCCGGCCGTTCCGACTTATATACTGCGTGCAAAGGAATGAAGGGTGTGTGCAAAGTTTTAAGCCGATATTTTTAAAACTAAGAGACTAGTTCGCGTAGAAACAGATAGACAGACGGACCGACGGACCGACGGACCGACGTTCAGACGGACAGACGAACATGCTCATATCAACTCAGGAGGTGATCCTAATCAAGAATATATATACTTTATAGGGTCGGAGATGTCTCCTTTTCGGCGTTGCATTAGAAAACGTTGACGTATTGGGGTAGTCAAAGTTGTCATAATATTACCGCTAAACTTTTCGTCGGCGTTTACCATTGACACCAAGTCTGCTTCCAGCTTTATACAACTGAATAATGCAACTGATGAGACATCTTCAGAACGGTCTGGCAATTTTCTGACTTTTGCTTTTTTTTAACAATCCGTCATAGTTTTTTGTGGTCGTCCAACCATATTTGACGATGATCTTGCTATCTATCCTAGCGGGGTATTTAACCGTTCCGGGTTTTGGCTTTCCATTTAACAATAAGCCTACTAGTAAATTTTGCAGGTTTTGGCCAATCTTCCACTGTTTCTCTACAGTTTACCTAAGGTTTTTGAAAAAAATTCCAAATACAAAGACGCGAAACTTCTTGGTTGGAATTGTTTCAGCGTGCTAGTAAAATAGTTAAACTGAATCCTTGTGAATATGGTAATTTATACCAAAGATTATAAAATACATACAGGGTGGGCCACGTAGCGATAACTTTTTGAACTAAAAGTTATTTCGAGAACGTCACCACATGTCAGTCGCATATTGATAATTGTTCAGTATATCAACTTCGGTTCACGAAATGGAACGATTTTCGAACGAACAACGCTGGGAAATGGTAAAATTTTACTTCCAAAGTAACGAATCAGATTTGAACGAAAAATCATCTTCTCGGACGAGGCGCATTTCCATCTTGGCGGCTATGTTAATAAGCAAAACTGCCGTATCTGGGGAACGGAAAACCCTCATGTGATCGTGAAGAAACCAATGCATCCCGAACGAGTGACTGTTTGGTACGGATTATGGGCTGGTGGTATCATTGGGCCGTTTTTCTTCAAAGACAGTGCGGGAGAGTGAGAGCCGTTACGGTCAATGGCGAGCGCTACCGAGCCATGATAACCAATTTTTTATGGGCTATTATCGACCAAATGGTCTGCGCGAGAAGTTTGGCGAACGCATTATTAGCCGGAGCGCCGAGGTCGCTTGGCCGTCTGGTAGCTGATAACCGATTGGCGCTACCGAGCCATGATAACCCATTTTTATACCCTTGCAGAGGGTATTATAATTTTGGTCAAAAGTGTGCAACGCAGTGAAGGAGACATCTCCGACCCTATAAAGTATATATATTCTTGATCAGGATCACCTCCTGAGTTGATATGAGCATGTCCGTCTGTCAGTCTGTCCGTCTGTCTGTCCGTCTGTCTGTTTCTACGCGAACTAGTCTCTCAGTTTTAAAGCTATCGTCTTGAAACTTTGCACACACCCTTCTTTCCTTTGCACGCAGTATATAAGTCGGAACGGCCCGGATCGGCCGACTATATCCTATAGCTGCCATATAACTGATTGATCGGAAATGGTATAACTTTGGTGTTTTTAGAGTTAGAGAGTTCAAATTTGACATGAGAGCTATTTTTGGAAAATTAATACGACATGCCAAATTTCAAAAGGATCGGCCGACTATATCCTATAGCTGCCATATAACTGAACGATCGGAAATGACCCAACTTTCGTGTTTTTGAAGATAGAAAGCTGGAACTTAGTACAGATTTAATTCTTGGTCAGTTGATCCAACCTACCAAATTTCATTAGGATCGGCCGTATATCCCATAGCTGCCATATAACTGAACGATCGGAAATGGTATTTGGTAGAAATATCAACTTTCGTATTTTTGAAGATAGAAGTTTGCGACTTTTTTTTAGATTTTGTATTGTAATAAATTGGATTATATATTCATATTCCCATAAGGATCGGCCAACTATATCCGATGTTTGCGATATATATCCGGTTTTAAATGCAAGGGTATATAAACATCGGCTCCGCCCGAAGTTAGCTTTCCTTTCTTGTTTATGGCCTATTATCGACCAAATGGTCTGCGCGAGAAGTTCGGCAAACGCGTTATTAGCCGGAGCGCCGATGTCGCTTGGCCGCCTCGTAGCTGCGATTTGACGCCATTGGACTATTATCTCTGGGGTGCCGTTACGGATAAATGTTATGCCAAGAATCACAAAACAATTGAGGATCTGAAAGCCGAAATCGGCGAAGTTATTGGCCAGATACAGCCCCACACGCTTGAGCATGTCGTCCAAAATAGTTCTAATCGCATCGGCTACTGCCACGCCATTCGCGACAGCCACATGAATGATGTTGTGTTCTATCATTAAACCGGAAGAATTAAGCTTTACAATAAAATCAAATAATAAATATTAAAATAAAAATCTTTAAATAAAATCAGAATTGAAAAATATAGACGCGTTTTCATTTTAAAGCCATTTTAAAAGTGATTTTTAATTGGCCCACCCTGTAGATGGGACATCAGGGCCCAAAACGGTCAACTTTTTTCGTCGAGCTTGTAGTCGAGGGGGCACATGCATACGATTCTATTTTTAGAACTCTTTAGATGTATCCGTCAATAAAAATGTGAGCCTTTGTATGTAGGTGCAACTGCTCGGACGACGGCGTGAAAATGTTTTGGCTTCCAAACTTCAATTTCAATTTCTCGTTTCTGTTTTCAATGCGCGATGTGGTATTTAATAGAAAAAATACTATTTTTAATCGCTGGAAATCGAGACAGGGTGGTAGCGTAGAGCATAGGGTTGTTACTCTATATACATACTCTATACTCTATACTCTATATACATAGTTACTCTATGTATAATCTGAGTTAAAATCCTCGTAAGGACTTTGAACTTTTTCTTTCTTTTATAATTATTATTTTTTTTTTATTTTTCTATAATTTTAATATTTTTTTTTAATTTTACAATTGTAAAATTGTTTAATTTTTCATTATGTCCGGCTAATAAAATTTCAAGGGAGTCCGTCCCTTGATTCTGCCATCCGACCCATCCGTCACTTATTTTTACAACAATTGTAATAGAATGTTCCCTCTCTCATCTGCCAGCCGTTGGTCGTGAAACCCGCTCTCAAATGTTTTCATTTTTTCCGTCGTGGAACCCGCTGCCTGCTAAAATTCCGCAGAACCCACACTTATACATAGATATTTTTACAGCGGGTTCCACCCGACCTGAGACGATGTTAAGGTAATTTTAAAAATTTTTATTTTTTTTTATTGGATTATTAATTTAGGAAAACACATTAAAAGAATAAAAATATAATATAAATAAATATAAATAGAATAGACTTGGCTATCCCTCATTCGTTGTCGCGCGAAAAATTTCTCCAACTTAAGTTGTCTTGCTTTGAACCCGGTCGTTCTAGCGGGTTCCAGCGCTGGAGTTCTTGTTTTCTACATTAATTCTAGTTTTGTACAGTTATCAATGCCAAGAAAACGCAAAGGGGGTGATTTGAGCCGTGATACAATTAGATCTCGAAACATGAGAAATTGGAGATCCTAAAGAGCCGAAGAACAGCAACAAAATACTGTAATGTCATGGCATTTCCTACAGAGTTTTTGAACTCACTGGATTCGCAAGGCATGCTAATGCATAATGTACAATTAAAGGTTGAATCTCCAATTATCCTACTTCGTAATTTGAACCCGCCCCGACTGTGCAAGGGTAAGCGATTAGTCAATCAAAAATTAATGAAAAACGTGATCGAAGCATATTAAATGGAAAGTTCAGAGGTGAAAATATACTAATACCACGGATTCCTATTATACTTACAGATGCGCCATCAGTTACAGATCAGTTTCCGATTAGATTGGCATTTGCAATGACAAAAACAAATCCCAAGGTCAAACGATGTCTATTTGTGGATTAGATTTAAGAACACCATGTTTTTCACTCGGAAAATTATACATGCGTGGCATGCGCTCGAGTGGGTAAACCATCCAGTTTGTTTGTGTTTGCTAAAGATGGACTAACAAAAAATATTGTTCACGCTATAGTACTAAGAGATTGACTTAAAATAATTTTTGCCTTTTGTTATTTTTATATTTCCCCATGGTTCACAGCGCTCCAGATAACTTTATAATACATGAGTCTATAACTGAGTAAATTTTGTACAGAAATTATAAAGTCATCTGGTGGCAAAACAACGTTTGCCGGGTCAGCTAGTATTAATATAATATTAATAAATACATTTTTATTGAAAAAAATAAAAATAATTTGAAGTGGGACTTTTTGTTTTTCTGACACATAAGCTCGATATTCCAGTCTGCAAGTGGAACAGTTTTTTAGTTTTTACTTCTGAATTCGTTCTCGTTATCTGGGCTCATATTAAGCTGATTCAGGTGTGAAATCTGATATAGCTTTTAGGCGCGATTTAGGCGGTGATCTGACTGACTGGCACTGAAGGCATTCACTTGCCTTTTGAATGTTCGGTATTATTAAATAAAAGCTAACGCTCTTAAAGAAAATTTTTGAGAATAGAATTTATTTAAATTCTTTTTGTTTTTTAGTTTTTGCTTTTATTAATCATAATATATTTATTGCGTTAAATAATAACGCATATGTATGTATATGACTTATACATAAGTGTAAGTGTATTATTTTGCACTTAACCAGTATTTTTTGTATTTACTACATTCGCCAATTACTGAAAAGGATATTTTAGTCCTTTTTTAGAGGCTAAAACAAACAATAAATATTTGACAATTGTAAATACAGTAATATTGTTTTAGATCATTAGCAACTATTTCAGATATACGTTAAAATGTTTCTCTTATGAAATTTATATAATATTGGTCCATCGCGCTGGAACTACATATTAAATCCGTGACGTGGAAAAATCGATTATTTATCAACAGACTTTTTTAAATAGTTGGATTTCCAAACAAAATTCCAAATTCTAAGGGTAAGATAAATTTTAAAATTGTATAATGTATTGAACTTATTGCGTTCAAATAAATGTGCGATTATAATTCAAAAATAAATACTCGTTACGTTCTTATGTATGTACATATATCCTCAAACATGTATGTATATTTCCACGGTTGTAAATACGAGGTTATATCGTATACGTACGTGTGAATTTTTGTATGTAACAAGAAGAAGGAATCAGCATAGCGCGAATGTTTAAACGAGGCGAAACCACTGGTGTATATGTATGTGGTCACGAATTGCCCTCCCAACCTACATATGATCACCATCCTTGAGATCAGCTCTGATGACCCCTTTTACCTACGACCTTTAGGCATTTAGCTGAGTTCAGATAAATAAAGTTTAGTTATGATATAAAAGCGTGATATAGAAATAAGACCTGTTTTTGCGACACATATCATTTTGTGATTTGATTTTCGTAGAGATGCCAGCTGTATAAATTATGTAGGTGTTTTAGTCTGGTCATAAATTTACAAAAAGTAAAAAAACCAAAACGAAATGGATAAAAATAAATTTTTCGATTTATTATAGATAATAATAAACCGTAATCAACTTTCGTGTTGCCGAATTTACGAAATGGCGTTTATGCACACACGAATCGGCTGAAATCGTGAAATGAAAGGGTGAATTCGGCATCGCATAAACGCATCGCATTCGGCATCGCAGTAAATGTTTAATGGTGCAGATGACCTTAAAGTTTAACATATTGATCAGGGAGGTAAAAATTATTTAGATTAAATGGGAAAATTAATATTAATGGATAAAGAGCAAAGGTAAATATAACTTAATCATAATATTTATTAGAAATTGTTTTAATATTTATAGTATTTATTCAATAAATTTTATTGGGAATAGTTTTCCATCAAAAGATTTTCAAAATACCTTACTCTACAGCAGTTGTCGGCACCCCAAAACATTGATATGATTTTAACGCATTAGTGTTAGTTCCGAATAGCAGAACCGACCTCTGCTCTACAGATGCTACAGAAATTTGCGATATGTGGGGAAGAACCGGAATCATATAAATTATTTTATATTAATCATAGTATCTTTATTAGACAAAAATAAAGACCTAATGTGTATATAAAAATTCATGAAAAGAAATATATATAAAAAAAATTGACTATCGTATTTTTCGATTTAATCGATGTTTTTTTTTTAAACATCGAAAATAATCGATGCACTGAGAACCAATTTTTTCCAGCTCTAGAAGGAGCAATCGTTTATTTCTTTACCCGAAACATTTTTTGGTTGCTGTGGTGAGCCGTTGGAGTCGGACGTATTTTCCGCATTAGGTTTTAAAAGCCTTCTAAACGGCAAGATCCACGTATGTATCGATGTATTCGAAAAATTCGTTTGGCAAGTGTGTCGTTTATCCGTAGAGAATTTCCGCAGCGAATGATTGTAGATCCTCTTTTATTCATGTCCGAAGTCCCGACAAAACGACATGAAGTAGGTCTGCCTAAAAAGTTTTTGGGTGACATATCATTGCAGCTTTTAACGATCTGTGCCTTCTTTTGATCATTTCCTTTAATTTTGGATGAAAAGCAGTCGTATGCAGAGATGTCATCCAAGAGGTGACCAAAAGGCTTTAGCCACTTTTTCGGCCGTTATTTTTGTGAGAGGAATAGCCTCCGGTCAGCGAGTGAATAGAATATTCTCGGACGAGGCGCATTTCCATCTTGGCGGCTATGTTACTAAGCAAAACTGACGTATCTGGGGAACGGAAAACCCTCATGTAATCGTGGAGAAACCAATGCATCCCGAACGATCCATCCAATGTATTCAAAAGGCCTTTGTCTATCGACACACGTGGTCCTTTGTGACGTTTTTTTTCGTGAAAATGTTAACTTTTTTTCAATCACTCACCATTTTGCAAAAAATCAATATATCGTAAAATCCTACGTGTGTCGACAGCTGTTGATGTATACAAACTAACCAAATTTTTTTTTTTGCTTTTTTTACACCAAAAATGAAGGACGTTAGCTTTCCGGCCATGGAGCCCCTATAAAAAAATAGGGCCTACGAATAAAGGCTGCAGAGTCCCCATTTTGTTTTTGATTTATTAAAAATTTATTTAGTACTTTTAATATAATAAATTAAAACATCATTTACAAATTTTCGATTGGCTTTTTCATTTGGCCAAAAAAAATTCCAGAAAATTCGCTTATTTTTCGCCTGTTAATCAGATGTCCCCCCTTAGGGACTTCTAAAAGAGGTGCCCAAACGTAATTTGAAGAACGAGGCAGGAATCTTCGATAAAAATTGATGATGCCAAGGAATTTTCAAAGTTTGTTGATGATGGATGGTCTAGCATAATTTTCGATGTCCTCCACTCGTGGACTAGGGGGTTGAGAAACTGAGAAAATTGATTGGGCCAGTTGGCTTTTGCATAAAAAAATGCAGGACCAAGGTTAAAGCGAAAATTGACATCTGATCTGGTCGATAAAACTGAAGATTTCATGCCACTGTTAATGCATGCAACTTTTACATTTGCCAAAAAATTGAAAACGTGCGACACTTTTTCCCTATTGCAAAAAGCATTGAATAGAGAAAATAAAGCTGTTATGACGAACCAATTTAAGCAGAAAGAAATGACAACAATAAGTCCTGAAAATGCTTTAGCCTTTTTAATTGAAAACAATTCAACAAAACGACAATGTATTAATATAAGTATAAGTATAAGTCATAAGTATATTTAGCACATTTAGCTACGGGTTTTGTGACTCAAAAGGACAAAGTCTATAAAAACAGCAATTTCACACAGTTAACCCTGTTGGATTAGATCAGTCACTGTTTTTATCTACAATAACTCTCTTGAAATTAATAAATTCCAAAAATTAAATTATTTGGTTAAGTCAATCGATCGATAAGATTCTGCCGACCCCTTAAATGGAATTTATTAGGAAAACAACTGAACTTATAAAAAATGAAAAAGCTTACTTGTACATGCAAATAAACAAGTTCATTCCAATTCTGCCCCTGAAAAATTATGAGTCAATAAACTTTCATATGTATACTGATAGCCATAAATATGGAATAAGTCCTTTGCATGCATAGATACGATTCTTCGAGTTCGTGTTAAAAGTGTCTTACTGAATGGAGCTAAAGAAAAGGCGATCCACAGGCTCAGACAAAGATAACCCTGCGTTACGGGAAAAAGTATGCAACGTAGATTATGGGATGAAATGAATTAGACGGCAAAAGTAATGATGGAAATTCCGCTGGAAGAGCTTTTTCAGATGTCAAAACGTTTTCAACAATTTTAAATTTTAACAGGAAAATTTTGATCAATTTGTATAGCATTTTAATTGCTGTGAACTAAGGGTAAATATAAAGTATGCCCAGAAAAATTTAAAAATTTATGTACGAAAACGTTCCACTTATATCTTGAAACTTATGATTGTTATGAATTGTTATGAAACTTATGAACTTATGACGAAAATTCAAATTTTTCATAGAAAGTAAACCTATTGTTGCGGGTCTTCGAAGTTTATAGCGCCGCCCCAGTAAAGACGCCCGCGTAGATGCTGATAATTGTTTGTTTTCTTCATTCATTCAAGGCTAACAGTGGTACAGTCGTTAACCACTGTTAAACACTCCAAGCAGTGATTAGCACTTTAAATTCCTAGTAATCAATTATGTCAATCAATCAAACATAATCATAATGAAACATAATTTTATGTTCTCACTTTTCGTCCGCTTCCCTCAAGTGTCAAAGTACTTAGAAAAGAAAGCTTAGGCACATGGTTACCGGCTGACTTAACAGAGATTTAAAACCCGCTTAAACTACCGGTTCTTCAACTTCAGCGTTGCCGGATGCCGCGGGAGCAGTTTTACTATATCGTAACACCTATTTTAATAATAAAATTGACTAAAATGAATCAAATAATTTAAATGGTTTTCATGCATTTCAGAAATCAGTCACCCCTTTAAAGTCAGCTGTTTTATTGCATGAGTGCAAAACTAAAAAGCGGGAGAAAGATTTTGCTTACTTGTGCCAAAATTTTTGTGGTTTAGGAAATTTCACTAAAATTATGGGAAGAAAAAATAAAAAACAATCGATCGAAGTTGATATACCCTTGCAGTTAAAAACAATTAACTAAAATAAAAAATCTAAAAAAATGTCCCAAGCTTCTATCTTCAAAAATATGAATTGATATTTCTACCAAATACCATTTCCGATCGTTCAGTTATATGGCAGCTATAGGATATAGTTGGCCGATCCTTACGAAATTTAGCATGTCGTATTAGTTTGCCAAAGATAGCGCTCTTGTAAAATTTGAACTCTCTAACTTTAAAAACACCAAAGTTATACCATTTCCGATCAATCAGTTATATGGCAGCTATAGGATATAGTCGGCCGATCCGGGCCGTTCCGACTTATATACTGCGTGCAAAGGAAAGAAGGGTGTGTGCAAAGTTTCAAGACGATAGCTTCAAAACTGAGAGACTAGTTCGCGTAGAAACAGACAGACAGACGGACAGATAGACGGACAGACGGACAGACGGACATGCTCATATCAACTCAGGAGGTGATCCTGATCAAGAATATATATACTTTATAGGGTCGGAGATGTCTCCTTCACTGCGTTGCACACTTTTGGACAAAATTATAATACCCTCTGCAAGGGTATAAAAAGACAAAGGTATATAACATATTTAAAACAAGAAAGGAAAGCTAACTTCGGTCGGAGCCGAAGTTGATATACCCTTGCAGTTAAAACCGGATATATATCGCAAACATCGGATATAGTTGGCCGATCCTTATGATTACATCATAATAAAACTAATTAACTAAAATAAAAAATCTAAAAAAAGTCCCAAACTTCTATCTTCAAAAATGCGAAAGTTGATATTTCTACCAAGTACCATTTCCGATCGTTCAGTTATATGGCAGCTATAGGATATAGTCGGCCGATCCTAATGAAATTTTGTAGGATCAACTGGCCAAAAATAGAATCTGTATTAAGT